AAGCGAAGAGGTGACAATACATCTCAACAATATACCTTAAATGAAAAGAGCGATGTATACAGTGTTGGCGTGCTCTTTTGGGAGATATCAAGCGGACGTCCTCCTTTTTATGTTAAGGGAGAAGAGTACGACATAAGCTTGGCTATCGAAATTTTAGGAGGACTTAGAGAAAAGATCATTCCAGGCACACCCGAAGATTATGCAAACATTTACAATGGTAAATATATGGTTATTAATTTATTTATAAAATATAAACGTACTAAATTATTTATCAAATTTCAGGGTGCTGGGATAATGAGCCGGATAATCGTCCGACAATGAAACAAGTAGTTGATAAATTAAATACAATTATTACGAAATCTAACATAGCAGAAAATAATCAACCGAATAATTATGAAACAGATCAACAACGTCGTTTGGATAACATCGATGCTTCTTCTAGTATAAATAATTCATATGGAGTAGTATCTCAAATTATTCGATTTGATCAGATGAATTATCAAATGAATAATTATGTACCAAATAATTCTGAAATTATTCATCATTTGGCTGGTCAGATAAATGTAGGAGAATTAGAATCAAATATTGAAGTATTAGATATTATTTATGATGATACAATTGAAAGTTTAACGATTACGAAAGATAATAAGGATGACATATTAAACGCTTTAGGAGGCTTACAAAGATATCGAAAATTAACTAAACTCATTTGGTATGTTAAGAGTATTATTAGCTTGCCAACATTACCCAACTCCTTAACTTATCTTGATTGCTTTAATACTCATATAACTATCCTATCAACTTTACCCAACTCCTTAACGGAACTACTTTGCTCTAATACTCAAATAACTATCCTACCAACTTTACCCAACTCCTTAACGGAACTTTATTGCTATAATACTCAAATTACTATCCTACCAACTTTACCAAACTCCTTAACTTATCTTGATTGCTCCAATACTAAATTAACTATCCTACCAACTTTACCCAACTCCTTAATGGAACTACTTTGCTCTTATACTCAAATAACTATCCTACAAACTTTACCCAACTCCTTAACTACACTATTTTGCTATAATACTCCAATAACTATCCTACCAACTTTACCCAACTCCTTAACTACACTTTATTGCTATAAAACTCAAATAACTATCCTACCAACTTTACCAAACTCCTTAACTTATCTTGATTGCTCCGATACTAAAATAACTATCCTACCAACTTTACCCAACTCCTTAACGGAACTTAATTGCTCTAATACTCAAATAACTATCCTACCAACTTTACCAAACTCCTTAACGGAACTTGATTGCTTTAATACTCCAATAACTATCCTACCAACTTTACCCAACTCCTTAACTTATCTTGATTGCTCCGATACTAAAATAACTATCCTACCAACTTTACCCAACTCCTTAATTTTTCTTGATTGTTCCAATACTAAAATAACAAGCTTACCAAATTTACCCGATTCCTTAACGCAAATTTATCCCGAATCTTTAAAAAACTCAACGTCCTGCAAAATCAAATAACTCCTATACTATCGCCCAAATCCTTAACCTTCTAACATAAACTTTCTTAATGTTAAGGTTTCTCATAACTTAAAATTATTTAATATTTAAACATATAATTTTAATTTATCATAATTGATAAATACTTGAAATTTTTTTAATATAATTTACTTATAAATTTTTAATGAATTATGTAAAAGATATTAATTAAAAGATTAAACTATTCATGGTATGGTTAAAGAAGCCTAATTAAAAAGGTATTGGTTATTAGGACATAAATATTGTTTCAAACTCGAAATTATTTCGATATATGTTCATAACGATAATGATATATATTTTTCGAAAATTTTAAGCCAGTTTTTCGTTGCTTTTCAGTATTTTGTTATTTTGATAAATAAATTGTTTTTTTACGTTTCTATTATTTAGGTATATTAAATGTGGATTATTTAGAAGCTTAGCGTAATATTAAACTTCCATTTGTAAATCGTCTCTTATAATGATTGATATTAAAGATTTTTCAATATATTTGCTTGGTGAATTAATCCCAACTAGAGTTTATATCCGTTATCCGTTAAAAACGGATATCCAACAGATATTCGAATATCCAGATTGAACGGATACAAAATTTTGGATATGGATAATCCAACGGATATCTGATAATACCCGGATATCCGGATTATCCAGATGATATCCGGATATATCCGGATAAATTATCTGGATATCCGGATTGAAACAGATACAAGTTAATCAGATATCCAGATGAATGAATATAAACTCTAATCCTAACGTGTTGCTCCATCCATTCAGATTTATTTCAATTAAATAATTATGCAAGTAATCAGTTAGCTCTAGAAGACAGTTTATTAGCAGTCAACAAGTCTGAAACGTCATTAATAAGCTGAGCCTCAGGAAATTCATCGCCATAATCGGCAGCTTTTTTGAAAATTCTAAAGCTATTTTATTCTGTTCAAAATTTCACAGTGATATAATATATCTTTTAATATTTGTTTGATAGTCATTTATGCCATTTGCTAAAATGAGTTTTGCCTAGGGTTGGATCGGTCCGGTCCAAAAAAAACCGGTCTTTCATCTTTCTTTGGACCGGACCGGTCCTAAGACCGGTCTTGTATCATACGGTCCCGGTCCGGTCCAAGGTTTGTTTTCTTCTCGAACCAGACCGATTTCTAAGACTGGTTCAAGGATCGGTTTATAACATACTAGAAAAAATATACATTTAAAATAATCAATAATTGTATAAATTAATAAATAAAAAAGTATAATAAAATAATTGCATACGAAACGATTCCTGCGCCTTCTTAATCTCGTTATTTTTCCATTTCCGATATTTTCATTTAGGACATTATCGTTACAGTAATATATTAGGACAGATCCAAGGACTGACTTATTGACCGGTCCGTTCCATAAGAGAGATGAAAACCGGGTCGATCCAAATCTAATTTTGTAGTATTTTATAAATAAAACTATTTATTTAGTATTTATAAATTATGTTATAAATAATAAAGACCGATCCGGACCGGTCCTCGGAATATGGACCGAGGACCGCAAGGACCGGTTCCATGAACCGGTCTAAGACCGTTCTTATCAGGACCGATCCTCCCTATTCAGTTTTTCCAGGCAACTATTAGCTACTGTGTAATCTATTAAAAAATAATAATACATAAGAATTTACTGAGACTTACAATCCAAAGTTATCTGCGGAATAAAATTTGGACCGCCAATTTGTGCACATAACTTTGAATAATAACATTTCCCTAAGAAAAAAAAAAATAAAATACACAGAAAATCTAAGTTTTAAGAATCACTTTTTTTTTTACTCAGGCCACAATATAAATTTAGGGAACAAGCTTATGGATATGATTTATTGACCGTTAAGTGATGTTCGAATAAGGTTACGTAAGCTACGCATCTCATTTTATTACATATAAGACTATGAAAAATGTATTCAATATATATAGAACGTTTTTCTATTCTAAATGATATAACAACATGATGATGAGTTAATTGTTGTTTGTTTATCTGCATTAGTACGTTAAAAGCTTCATAGATTGAATCAATATTCTCACATTTCTGTGCTATAATTTTTTCATATCTAGCAATTTATAACAATTGCAAAAATGAATTAATACTTCATGCTTATAGCAAGTTTATAAAATTTTGAACTTAAAGGATGTTTCAATATCGCGATTAAGAATTTAATAATATATTACAGTTATTAGCAAATTACAGGTTTAAGCCAAAAGGATTAAAGTATTAATTTGTTTGCTTTCTTTTCGATTTTGAAAATTCTAGCACTAGAAGAATATTTATTAAAAATTGTAGTACTAAAAACGATCGGTTTACAGGTCAGCTAAAAATCGGTCGGTCATACGGTCCGGTAGGTCAAAGGCTTTTGATCGACCGTTGAACGACCATTGAACCGACGGTTACCATCCATAGCTGATATGCACTGCTTAATAGCGTTACATTGGATACAATTTCGCCCGAAAACTCGCATGAAAATCTCTTCGATATTTGCAGTTAGTCTTTTGAATATCATTTTCCAAATCCAGGTTTGTCAAGGTGTCAGGCTGTCATTATGATAAAATGTCAAGAAGCCCTTATTTTAATTATTCTTTTTTTCAAATATTTTAACGAAAATCAATATTTAAAGTAACGAGTAAATCACGTGTTTCTTGAAAATAACTCTGGCCAAGAATTAAAATTATAAATGCATAAATTATTTAAACCTTAAATAGATCACTCCTGAATAACATTTATATATAAATGGTACAGTGCAATTTTGATCACCTTAAAATGGAATAAAGTTTTTCAAAACCTCTCCAAAATAAAATATCATAAAATGTCTGCAAAATTTCTTTCATGCCTAAGTCAAAATTATATCGAACTATTAGACGATGATGAATATTACGATGTTACTGTAGAAGTTGGTAAAGACCCTAATGTAAAAATATTCCGTGCTCACATGAATATTTTGTGCTACCGTTCTCCGTATTTGCGACGAGCTTTGTCTTCAAGTAAAAAAAGTAATGATAATAATATCTTGGCACATTTGAAATTGCCAAATATTTCACCGGAAAACTTTCAAATTATTTTAAAGTAAGTGTTATCGATACAAACAAAAAAACTAATATAATATAATAAATTTTAATATTCAATTCTATCTTTTCGTAATTCAGATACATTTATGGTGGCATTCTTTCATTTAATGAACAAGACGCTCCAGACATTCTTAAAGTCTTGATAGCTGCTAATAAACTATGTCTTCAAGAGCTAGTTGATTATTTACAAAACTATCTAATTGAAAATAAATCCGAATGGATGGAACAACATTTTGAGATGATTCACCAAGCTAGTTTTCAATTTAATAATTTTCTAGACCTTCAACGATTTTGTACAGATTTGATAGCTAAATCACCAGACAAAGTATTTAAGTCACTTGACTTGTCTTTTCTTTCTGAAAAGTCTTTAATATCAATAATTAAAAGGGACGATTTACAAATGGAAGAAATTGAAGTTTGGGATCATGTATTAAGATGGGGGCTTGCACAAAATCCAACTCTTACTTCGGACCCCACAACTTGGACTGATGATGATTTCAAAACAATGGAGAATACTTTACAACGATGCTTACCTTTGATCAGATTTTTTAGCTTACATTCTAAAGATTTTTTTCGAAGAGTTCGACCATATAAAAGGTTTTTAAAAGAACAACTTTATGAAAATTTATTAGCATACCACCTGGATCCTGAAACTCAAATAACCCATAAAATCTTACCTCCTAGAGCTGGAAATTTAGATTCAAAAAATTTGGATTCAATAACCATTAATATACGTATTGCTTCCTTAATTTCAACATGGATAGATAAAGTGGATTTTAATAATAGAGAATTATATTTACCTTATAAATTTGAATTACTATTGAGAGGAAGTCGAGACGGATTTACTCCCAAGATGTTTCACACATTATGCGATAATAAGCCTATGACAGTCGCCTTCATTAAAATAAAAGGAACAAATGAACTTATTGGTGGATATAATCCTCTGACATGGAAATCTTCAGTTGAATGGGGCAGGACTAAAAATAGTTTTGTATTTTCTTTTAAAAATAAGGATAACTTTATCAAAAATGCGATATTAAGCAACGTTAAGAATGTAAATTATGCATTAAATTATCACAAAAGATGTGGACCATGTTTTGGCGGTGATCTTATGATATGTTCAACTGGTGAACAAAAAGATTATAATACAATTCATTGTCGTAAAAACAATTATGAAAAAAAGTTAAGAGATGATGAAGAAAATTTTTCTATAGAAGAATATGAAGCATTCCAAATTATTAGGAAGTAATTTTTTTGAACATTAGAAAAATTTTGATTAATTGGGTTACCTATAGTTTTTCGTGTCGGAGTCATTGGTAAAAATTTGTATTTCTTTAAAAATATATTAATATTAATAAATAGAACATAATTATTCGTTATTAGTAAAATTATTGGTTCCAAAAAGGAATTGAGAAAATAAAAATATCCGTTTTATTCCTTTTGTTTAATACTTACAGGTTCCAAATTATTTTGCCATAATGAATATTAAGTTGCATAATTAAAAATTTTATGTATTATTAAGTGTTCATACTTCATCCGGTTTCTTTTTTGCATGCGACTCTAAGATCAACAGTTATAAACTAATACTTTAATATGATAATTTGATTCAAACGTTAAGATATAGCTTGGTTTTATCATTTATAATTTTTTTTTTTTTTAAATTTTTTTATAAGTTTGCAATAAATATTAATTAAAATTGCTTTATTTTATTTATTGTTAAGATTTGAGACGACGGTACTACAAGTTATTCATTTTTATTCATTGCCCAATTTGAAATTGGAATTCGGTGCCCTCAGCCCTAATTATATTGAGGCTACAATCAAAAATGAGTCACATGCTTTTTCGGGTAAAATGAAGTTGCCCAATTTTAAATCCTTGTATAAGGTATTTAATGCCTCCAGATTAATTAATCGATCAAAATTCAAAATTCGATTAATTTAATTGATCGTTCTCAAATCATATCATAAATGCTTCCATATCCAACTAGGCTCAAGTATAACCCATTACGGTTCTTGCTGAGGATGTACTATTATATTATTATTTTTATTTTTTTTTTTTGAGATAATATTTATGTTGTCTGCTTCATGTTAAAAAAATAAAAGTTCTGTACAGTAGACTGATCTTCAAACTCAACCAATTTAGGAAATTCGCACAAATTCAGTGAATAAAAAATTTTTTTAAGTATTTTCAGTTACCATAGAAGTTTCGGAGGTCTAGTTAACATCTAGTTTGTGTAAGCCTGGTGATTGATGGTCTATAAACGAGGTGGGTTACGGTTGGTCAATTGAGACCTAAACTAGAATTGGGGTTTAAACTAATTCCTGTAAATATGTTCCGTTACTTCAACAAAATAAAAAAAATAAAAAATAAAATTTTAAGTATTTGAAAGTCAATAATTATTGTAACAAAAAAAAAAAAAAAAAATTAATTCAAAATGAAATGATATTTAAACATTTAAAACTGAATTTAATTTTTGTCTTAATCAGCAATTTAATCGATTTAATTTTTGATCGAAACTAAAATTTTGTGATCGATTAATTGACCAGATCGATTAATGATCCTTGTCACCTATGTTTTGCTGTCAAAAATGATCATTTTAGTATCATTCCGTGAAAAAAGTTCTTTTATTGATAAATTCCATAATGTATAAATGTTAATAAGCAATTTTACTATGTGAAAAATTTTATTAAAGCTACAAAAATTTAATAAATTTATTTTAAGTAATATTCCGCCCTTCTATGTCCTGCGAAATTCTGGAATGCATAATTTTACACACGTCTCGTTTATAGCGGGGGGAAACTGCTGGAAAAAATCAACTTTACTTTTATATGTCAAATATGAATTAAGGTCAAAATTTGTTCGATTTTTAGCATTCTCATTTTTTAAATTTTTTTTTTTGCAGCCGTTTCCCCTTTTCTATTGCAAAGGTCCCATATATGCGATTTAAATCTATGCAATGAATTTCAAAAGCAATGCTTGATTTATTTTTTTAAAATAAGTATCATCTTATCGAACAACAAAAGCCTGCGGTTCTTTTACTAAATTCAAATAAAATAAATACTTTATGCTATATAACAATGTTTATATAACGAATTTAACAAATATTCATTGGAAAATAATTTTATGATTCTCCGTTATGAAATTAAAAATTTTCACCAGCTCTATATCAAAATTTATGAAATAAAAATATCATCTTGTTGTTTCATTTAAGATTAAAAAATTTAATTTTAAAATCAAACTGATTTCTTAATTATTTGAAATACTTCATAATCATCTAAATTAACTTTATCATTAGTATCCCTTAACATTTTTTCATAATGGTCTTTTCGACAAGTAGTTATACAAAAATCTTTTTGCTTATCTGATGAATACATAACAATATCGGCCCCAAAAACTGGTCCAGAACTCTCGTGAAAATATAATGCAAAATTTGCATCCATAACCTTACTTAGAATCGCATCCTTGATAAAGTCATCCTTATTTTTAAAAGAAAAAATAAAACTATCTTTTGTTTTACCCCAATTACCAGTAGATTTCCATATTAGAGGATTGTATCCACCAATAATTTCTTCTGTTTCTTTTATTTTAATGAAGGTGACAGTCATAGGCTTATTATCACATAATGTGTGAAACATCTCGGGAGTAAATCCGTCTCGACTTCCTCTCAATAGTAATTCAAATTTATATGGTAAATATAATTCTCTATAATTAAAATCCACTTTATCTATCCATGTTGAAATTAAGGAAACGATATATATATTAATGATTTTTGAACCCAAATTCCCAAATCTAGGAGGTAAAATTTTATGGGATATTTGAGTTTCTGGATCCAGATGATATGCTATTACATTATCATAAAGTTGTTTTTCTATAAACCTTTTATATGGATGAACTCTTCGAAAAAAGTCTTTAGAAGATAAACTAAAAAATCTGATTAAAGGTAAGCATCGTTGTAAAGTATTCTCCATTGTTTTAAAATCATCATCAGTCCAAGTTGTAGGGTCCGAAGTAAGAGTTGGATTTTGTGCAAGCCCCCATCTTAATACTTGATCCCAAACTTCAATTTCCTTCATTTTCAAATCGTCCCTTTTAATGATTGAAATTAAAGTCTTTTCAGAAAGAAAAGTCAAGTCAATTGACTTGAAAATTTTCTCAGGTGTTTTGGTTATTAAATCATTACAATATTGTTGAAGGTTTAGAAAATTATTGGGTTGAAAGCTTGCTTGGTAAATTGTCTCGAAATGTTGCTCCATCCATTCGGATTTGTATTCTATTAAATAGGTTTGCAAATAATCAACTAGCTCTTGAAGACATAGTTTATTAGCAGCTATCAAGATTTTAAGAATTTCTGAAACGTCTTGTTCATTAAATGAAAGAATACCGCCATAAATATATCTAAATTACGAAAAGAGAATTGAGTTTCAATATTAAAAATTATTATATATGCCGGATGTATAACCCTCCCTTACTTTAAAACGATTTGAAAGATTTCCGGTGAAATATTTGGCAATTTCAAATATTCCAAGATTTTATTATTACTTTTTTCAATTGATGCCAAAGCTCGTCGAAAATATGGAGAACGGTAGCACAAAATATTCATATGAGCACGGAATATTTTGACGTTTGTCTCTTCACCAACTTCCACTGTAACATCATAATATTCATTATCATCCATTAGTTCGATATAATTTTGACTTAAACATGAAAGAAATTTTGCAGGCATTTTTGTTTTTTTTTTGGGAGAGTTGAAAAAAAAAATGTTTTTATGTCCATTTAAGGGGATCAAGTAAATTAGCTTTACCAGATATAGTTAATTAATTTTCGGGAATTTCTATTTAAGTTCTAAATAAATTATGCATTATGAATTTAATACTTGGTCAGAGTTATCGATTATTTCAGAAATTCACGTGATTTTATGATTAATTAATCGAGCAAAAAAATTTTTTTGATTATTTTATTATGAAGTAACATAAACGTAAAAATTTTTACATAACGTAACTAATTCAATATCAAAATATATTTATTTTTCATCTAGACAAAATGTTGCTTCCTATTATTTGGAATACTTCATAATCATCTATAAAAAATAATTCATTATTATGACTCAACATTTTTTCATAAGAATCTTTCCAACAAGAATATGAATTATAATCAGTAAGTTCATCTGATGAACACATAAGAATATCGGTTCCAAAACATGGCCCAGCGCTCTCGTGATAATACAATGCACAATTTGCATTACTAACGTTACTTAAAATCGCATCCTTGATAAAGTTATTCTCATTTTTTAAAGAAAATATAAAACTTTTTTCGGTTATACCCCAACCTTCAGTAGATTTCCATATTGAAGGATTATATCCACCAATAATTTCATCTTTACCTTTTATTTTAACGAAGGTGACGGTCATAGGCTTATTATCGCATAATGTATGAAACGATTTAGGAGTAAATCCGTCTCGACTCCCTCTCAATAGTAATTTAAACCTATATGGCAAATATAATTCTCTATTAACATCCACCTTATCAATCCATGTTGAAATCAAGGAAGCAATATTTAAATTAATGATTTTCGAATCCAAATTTCCAACTCTAGGGGGTAAAATTGTATGGGTTATTTGTGTTTCGGGATCTAGATGGTATGCTAATAAATTTTCATAAAGTTTATCTTTTAAAAGCCTTTTATATGGTCGTACTTTTCGTAAAAAATCTTTTGATGATAAACTAAAAAATCTAATCAAAGGTAAGCATCGTTGTAAAGTATTCTCCATTGTCTTGAAATCATCATCAGTCCAAGTTGTAGGGTCTGAAATAAGAGTTACGTTTTGAGCAAGTCCCCATCTTAATACATGATCCCAAACTTCAATTTCTTCCATTTGTAAATCGTCTCTTTTAATGATTGATATTAAAGACTTTTCAGAAAGAAAAGACAAGTCAAATGACTTGAATACTTTTTCAGGTGATTTAACTATCAAATCCGTACAAAATCGTTGAAGTTCCAAAAAGTTATTAGATTGAAATCCTGTTTGGTGAATAAGATTAAAATGTTGTTCCATCCATTCGGTTTTATTTTCAATTAAATGGTTTACCAAGTAATCAATTAGTTCTTGAAGAGATAGATCATTAGCGGCTATCAATACATTAAGAATGCTTGAAACGTCTTTGCCATTAAATGAAAGAATTCCTCCATAAATATATCTAAATTACGAAAAGAAATTTGAATTTAAATTAAATATTAAAAATTATCATATACTTTATAAATAACTCACTTCAAAATAATTTGAAAGATTTCCGGTGAAATATTTGGCAATTTCAAATGTGTCAAAATATTAATATCTTTACTTTTTTTACTTGAAGACAACACTCTTCGTAAGTATGGAGAACGGTAACACAAAATATTCATATGAGCACGGAATATTTTTACATTAGGATCTTTACCAACTTCCACAGTAACATCGTAATAATCATCATCATTATCTAATAATTCAATATAATTCTGACTCAAATTTGAAAGAAATTGTGCAGACATTTTATAAAATTTTATTATGGAATTTTTTTTTTTTTTTTGTCAATTAAATTTGTGATCAAATAAACTAACCTGATATAGTAATCGTAATCCTCCGAATATAAGCAACAACCTTTTTGCACATATTGCCGGCCCAAGATTTGTAATGCGGGCCATAAATTGTTAAAAGCGGGACATTACAACATTTTCTGTGGTTTCTTATTTTCGAGGAATACGGCTAACACCTTAACCCTAATTAACCCTAACTCTAAATAATTCTAACCGTGACAAATAGATATGTATGTATGTATGACAATAAGATTTCGCACTCAAAAAGGCTGTCCCCTGAATAAATAGTAAAACGGTGTGACAAATATTTATTATAATCACGTGTTTGTGAGATCGACTTACCACTTGTTTATATAAGGTAACTAATCGAATTTTATTGAATATAATATACTTCTAAACTATACTGTAATTTAATTTTAAATAGAACCAATATTTTAATTCCTATTTATTTGAAATACCTCATAATCATCTAAAAAAAATAAACAAATAGTATCCCTCAAATATTTCCGACAATAATTTGAATCGACATCTTTTAATTCACATAATGAAAATATCCTAAGATCATATCCAAAACATGGTCCGCCACGATTGTGGTTATATAGTGCAAAATCTTTAACTTCAACATTACTTAGAATCGCATTCTCGATAAAATTTTGCTTATTGTTTAAAAAAAATACAAAACTATTTTTAATCCTGCCCCATTCAACAGAAGATTTCCATATTAAAGGATTATAATTTCATCTTTACCTTTTATTTTAACTAAGGTGACGGTCATGGGCTTATTATGTATGAAACGATTTACTGTAGGAGTAAATCCGTCTCGACTCCCTCTCAATAGTATTATTATTACTTTTTTTACTTGAAGACAAAACTCGTCGCAAATATGGAGAATGGTAGCACAAAATATTCATATGAGCACGGAATATCTTTACATTAGGATCCACCAATTTCAATAGTAACATCATAATATTCATCATCATTTAATAGTTCGATATAATTTTGGCTCAAACTTGAAAGAAATTGTGCAGACATTTTGCAAAAATTGTTCGGAGGAAAGGAATTGGTTTCATTTTTGTTATTTTTTTTTTGAGGTATTTTTTTCTGACAGCAGGATTTTTTTATTTAGTCAATATCAAGGTGGTAATCGGTAATTCAACTATACCAGTGATATACAGTAGATCAAACGTAATATCGGGTAATGTTTCAACTATTTCGTCTTTATGACTCGATCCCTATTTGTAATTGTAATGACTATAAAAAAAAAACGGCGGAAAAGGCGGTAACTAAAAATACAAAATTAGAATGACGAAAACTTATTTAAAGCTAGGTTCTTTAATAACTAAAATAGATTTGTTTGCAATACTTTATCGTTAAACAACGAAATCGGTGTACTGTTTTTAATGGCCTATTTTCCATCCCATATCCCATTGACTCATTCTAAATCTCTATATCCTATCACTAAACAAATTTCTATGACTGAATGATTTAAAGAAATCTTCCAACGTTATATCCATGAGTTGTCGGAAGGCGAAAGACTTAAAGAATTTACGTCACCTGAAGTTAATTTACAGGATTATTAATTTTTAGGCTTATTAATTTTTAATTAACCCACTTAAATAACCGGAAAATCGGTAAATAATCGTAATGTAGTTCCGTCACGGAATCCTTTGGTTTTCGTGACAACCGAGGGAGTTCTCAAGCACTTAACTAAATGGATCGGAAATGAATTTTAATTAGTCGGAGTTGATTTTGAAATGAGTTACCATTCCGATGAATAAAATCTGGAAGACCAAAACAATTTTTTTTTTCCGTTGATTGGCTAAAATTTATCATTGTTAGAGTATAACGTTCAAGTATTTTCTTCATTGTGTAGGTTGAGTAGTTGCCTTTTTTTCTTTTTTATTATTTTGTTTATTTTAAACTTAAAATTAAGAGAAGCTGCTCAACTATTGGTGCGATACGAGATTTTATAAAAAAAAATTTTGCTCAACTTTTTTTGGTGAAAGATTTCTGTAACACAGAACTTCTGCATTTAAATTGTGAATTATTTGAAGGAGACTTACCGACCACGTGTTAAATCTTTTGCGTTACTTTTCTCTTTTTTTTATAATTTACAGTGATAAAATAACAAAATTACAAACATAGGATCCAAGGATTCAGAAGATATTTTTAAATGAAGGAAAATTATTCATTCCAAAAAATTTCATTGACAACAACATAAATGTACATTTCAATTTTTTTTTTATTTCTATTGTAGAGAGGACCGAATATTCATAAGACAGATCTAACAGATTAGTAACAATGAAAGAGGCGACTCTCCCTACGTTTTAAAATGTAAACTCTCGGGAATGGTTTGACATTCAAAAATAAAAAAATTTCATAAAAAAAGTATCTTCCTAATAAAATGAACGCGTCGTATCAAAGAAACGACGAATTTATTACAACAGTTGAATTAAACAAACAGATAATTAACATAAAGAAAAGGTATGACGTTTGTTAATTACTTGTAAACAATTCTCTATACGAAACATAGTTATGTTTTTTAATGCATCACAGAAAATTATCACGCCTCTTCGATTCAAGATTTCAGAGAACAAATAGATATAACATCATTTTTGAGTTTATCTTTTTGATCATTACATCTTTTCGTATCCTATCAAAAAGTTCCCCGCTTATTTTCTTGTTTGTCCTTTGCATAGAAATTTCATAAATATTCATTTTCGCTAAGCCGGACAAATTTACACAGCATTCGTTGCGCTCACACGCTTTGTTAATTATCAGCAAAAAAAAAAGCCTGCTCGTTCAGCGAATGTATTTAAATAGCACTTGTAAGCACCTTTCGTTTCATACATACGCCAAATTGTCATGTATTTTTCAAATAATTCAAGTTTATTCATTAATATCAACAGTTTTTGTGATTTCTCACAACTCATAATCACTTATTATTCGGCTCCATTTTCTTCTAATTATCAAAAACATGTCTTTTCAGTTAGTGCTACATATTTCGAACTGGGTACAGTGCATGCGGTATAATTTCATCAAGGTCAGATCTGATAGTAGCGGTTAACGCTGCTCAATTTGGTAACACGTAAAATCTTAACCAAAATCCAATATGTGGTAAAAGCGTTATTATAACGGTCCAAAAGGAACCGTTATTTGTCGAGTTGTAGAAAGTTGTCCTGGATGTTCTTTTGGTGATTTGGACTTATCTCCTGCCGCTTTCGAAAGAATTGCCAACCTAGAACTTGGTAGAGCGATTAATTGGGATTTTATTAATTGATTGTGGGAATGACGAGGTAAATGATGATGGTGATGATTAAGATTAAGATAAAGGTTGACAAAGTATTCAATTAAATTCTTTCAATTCCAGGTACTAATACAAAGCATACAATATAAATGGTTTAGAAATATAATTATCCCTTTTATTTTTTTTTCCTTTTAACCATTTCATTATTATTGTTTCAATATTGATATACTGTAAGATTGTATTGTTTTTCTTTTAGTTTTTATTTTGTATAAATATCTTGTATTTTCCCTACTGGATGAAAAAATATATTTTTCTTTTATAGTGGTGTCACAATCAACTGTCTTTCTGGTTCATTTGATAAATATAGCCCCTAAAAATTTAATTTCGGATGACACACAGTATTGTTTTATTAATTTTGGATAATTCATAAAATGTGGGTTAAAGTTTAACGGGCACATTTGAGGTCTAAGTTCATCATTGACCAGAAAATTAAAATGGCTAAAAATTGTGCTAAAAAAAATAATAAGTTTTACATTTAACTGACAAATTGTACCTTTGCTTTAAAACCACAAAAATTCACTTTTCGAAACAAAAAAAAAAAAACTAAATAGAATGAATATAATGAGAACCTTCAATGTTTATAATTTACCAAGTTAAAAAGTGAAGCGTGTAGGTTCAAGAGCCCAATCCTTTTTCTTATAAGTTGTCATCAAATAACTTGGTAAGTAAAAATGTTTCGAGCGATAACAAAGTAAACATGGGCTAGTGTGCTACAGGTACAGTCGACTCTGGATATAACGAACCAGCCGTTCCAGAACGTTTGGTTCGTTATAGAATGAGTTCGCTATATAAATTCGTGTTTTATACCGAACTGTTCGGTATATAAATTGACCAATAAATTCAAACGTAATTAGTTATTTTATTAAATTTAAAACTATTACATATTATAAAAGTAATACATTACAATTGACTATATACATATCATTGAAAATAAATGTTACTTGTTTAAATTTTTTATAATTTATAACTTCACTCGCTTTTGTAATCCTTTTGAATTTCTAATTCTTCATTTACTTCGCCAAATTCTGGCCCTTGCTCATATAAAAACATTATTATTTTATCTGCAGCATTTTCCGCTTCTATTAAACTAACTTTTTCTAATATAGGTGTAAATTCGTCTTCATCTATCATATCCTTTCCTTAATTTTATTTAATATAGCATCAATTATTTTATGATCAGTTAGACCACTTTCTGGCATTGCATCTTCTACATATATGAAGATATTCGTATGCATTAAGGTAAGGTCACTTTTCGGAAGTTGAAAAATTAACATATCAAGTTCTTCAATTTCTATATCAACACTGAAAAATAATGCAAATTGAATAAATACAATAAATAAAAATTTATTGAATTAGATTTTTAATATTGCAATTTTACTTTATATTTAGCATTTATCTTTATTAATTATTTTTTTTTTATTTAAATGATAAATTTTTTTTTATACTTAACAAAATAAAAAAAAAGATTTTATTTTAAAAACAATTTAAATTTCATTATAAATTGTTATTTTATTATATTATTATTGCTATTATTACTATTATTAAATTGCTATTAATATGATTATTCTGAAGATGATTTAAAATGCATCATCTTTAACTCCAGTTCTTTCATTCTAAGCTGAAATTCCATACGTGATTGCTTTATATCAAATTCCATTTTTTTTTGTAATGTTTCAGCTTTAAGCCACTCAATTGCCAATTCTTCTTTTTTACAAATTATTTCTGCTTCTCTAACTTCCTTTTCAACCATTTGCCTTTTTTCAAATTGTTCATTTTCAAAAGCAAGTCGTTTTACCCAAACTGTTTGTCACATACTACCCATAGAAATCATAGCTTTAGCTAATGGATCTTGTGAAACTAACTTTCTTTTTTTATTAACTTGATCATTCTTTATTTCTTCAGATTCTTGTTTTTCTTCAAAACTATTAAACAATTCAATATCATTAGAAAAACCATCTACTAAGAATCCTGGATTGTGATTTTTGCGTGTTTCAAATAAAGCATCAATTCTTTCAAACCATTTCCATTTTGCTTGTGCTTCTCTTCCTGTTTTATTTTCCTTTTCTTTAATATCATTATATTTAGTCACCAGGCGGCCTAATTATTTTGATCTGTTCCCATGGTTTTCCTGGGAAAATTTTATTAGAAGCCATTTAGCAAAATTTGACATTTTTTTTTGTAACTAGAAAAATTTTCTTCAAGAAAATTTATCAATAATTTTGTGTTTTCATCATTCCAGCCTTCTTCTTCATTAACAGATCCAGATTGAGAAGTATTATTTGAAGTACTATTTTCCCTCTTTTTTTTATAAATTTTTGGTTTAGCGGGTGTTAGTGTAGTATTAGTAGTAGGTTCAACCGGTGGCAATGAATTAAAATTATGTAAAACCGAGGAGTTTGGGTTTGTTACAGCTATAATATCTGGATTTTGTATAAAAAATTCGTGTGGTTTTGGAGCAATTGAACGAAAAGTTGAATTTGAGTTAGACATTTTGAACGCGGTAAAATTTAAAAAAAAATCGCGTTATCTTGTAAAATCAGCTTATCTGAATTTAATTTATTAAAATCGATCAAGGTGAATTTTTGATTTCAATTTTCGGTCGATCTAGAAATGAACAGGGCTATAGATTAAGATGCGTCTGATGATCAGATTTTTGTGATTCGATCATATTTCTCCCAAAGATTGATCAAAATCGATATTGCAAATTATATCAAAAGGTGAGTCCCTAGTTAAATCCTTTTTCCGCCTTGTGCAAGCGAAAAAAATAAATCTGATCCAACTTACTATTTAATGAAATGAAAGGTATGTCAATAACACTTCGATTTGAACATCATCATAATGCTAATTAATTTTTCTGGTTATATAGGATGTTCAAATTCAAGCGGAGCGGACATCATCATAGTTGATCATTTTATCACCATGATTAGAGAAATATCACATGACTGTGCATTGAACGTATTTAGGTTAACTTTAACTACTACAATAACCATATTCCTTATTTCAGAGAGAAGAAGAAATATGCTTTGAGATTAAACTAGACATAACAAAAATGAATATATGAAGTTGCTTGTTGCTAATTCTATTATATGGCTCGATTTGCTTCGTTATCAGGATTAAGTGATATAGAACTCGCTATCGTCTGACAGTTGTTTTTTAAAAATATAGAAAAAATAATTTTTTTTTTTTTGAGACCTTTGCAATAAAACTGCTGAAAAAAAAAGGTTTGATGTTCATATTTGGCATATAAAAGTAAAGTTGCTTTTTTTCCAGCAGTTTCCCACTTTCTATTGGAAAGGTTCCATAAAATGAGCGACAGTAATTAGCAATATTGAGCGATCAATTTGTAAATTCTTTCTTGTTACGGTCACAAATATTTGATTCGGATGATCCGGGGTTAATTCTCAATTCGGATGATTCAGAAATTATTGTACGACATTATCTTTCGTTTAAGATATATTGGATTAGATCAAATTTATTGATTTGAATCAGGCTAATTCTAATAAAGTCTGTTCTGAATTTAAATTTAAATTTGTAATTACTCACACTTAAATTATTACTGCGGATCATCCGAATTAGAATTTTCGTAAAATGTTAGGACGTACTAATTTTAATAAATTAAATAAAAAGAAAAAAAAAAAAAAACTTAAAATTAATACGGGCAAGACTATTTCGATTGCGGTATGGGAGTCAAAAGAGATTATTAAATTAATTTCTAAAATAAAATAGAATGACAACAGAAAAAAGAGATCAACATTTAAGAAAATCAAATTATTCAAATATGTTTTGTGCCGATCTCGAAACATATATATAAACGTTTATTTTTTTTGAGCAGAAATTTTTTTTATATTCAAATCCATTTGTTAAAAAATGCAGAGTAAAACATTCATAACATTGTCCTTTCTGATTTTAACCATTATTTCATCGGTTCATGCTTGGATTACCGTAGGTTTATCCTATGGAGTATGCGAACTCACCTTTACTGATGATGTAATCCACATCAACGAGCACGACGCACATTTTTATACCAATTCTACAAAGGTCAAGAAAATAGAATCCAATAGTCAAACCTCAACTGGGTTTGTACTCACTGTCACTATGTACGGGTGTGCAGAAAATTGTGGTTGGTCATTTGACCTAAAAGTAGATAATAAAACAAAGACAGTTACGCCGGTTGCTAGTAAACAGCTTCCTTATACCTGTGTGAACAACCCAACCACGTGGCGAGTTGATCTGGAAGCCAAAGTTTTGAGTAATGGAAATACTCCTAATCCAGATTATCCTTTTTCTTTTAACCTTGCTATGCATTATTGTAAAAATAATTACAACATAGACAACAACACCGCTATAACTGGCAAAGATGATAAAAATAATTTGAATTGTCTCTACGCATATTCCGATAAAATGTATGACCCTAAAATTATCTTTGATTTTGAACATGATGGGGCTCGATGGCCATTTCGGGGACAAAAACCTGCTGCTTTATCTTTAGCTGCAACAGTAGATAATGCTTTTACCTTTTATCAGAACCACTACCTAGGATTAAAATATTCTTTTAATAACATGACTGAAAATATTTATGATCACCTAACTGATTTTGGTCCATTCTATAATCATGCACCGGATGACTCGATTTCTTATGATATAACTGGCACACTACAATTATTCACTGATCATTTTAGTTTGAATTTACTCAAAGTAGGAACAATCTTTGTTGACTCAGTTTCTGGTATGTGTATAGTGTTATTAAGTATATTGGTATATTTTTAATAAAATATATATATTCTTATTTTTTTTTTTTTATAGAACAACCAATTTTTCTTGATAAAAATGGAAAGCCATTAGGACGAACTGTACATTTAAAAGATTTTTACTACAAAGTGCCTTTTGATGCCACTGGTACAATGAAAAATACTTTCAAAAATTTTGGTTCAAATAAAGATTCATATTTAAAAACTATTATTGATAAATTACCC